TGTTGCAGAAGAAAGACACGGGCAGAGTTGGTACGCGTGTCCGCGGCTGTCATGGGCATCGAGTTTTCGTACGCCGCGGAGACGGCGTTCGTTTCACCGACCCTGTTGAAAATCGGCGTGGATCACCAGCACATGACCCTGGTCTGGGCCCTCAGCCCTCTCATCGGTTTCTTCGTCACGCCGATTTTGGGAAGCTTGAGCGACAGGTGCAGGTCAAAGTACGGCAGACGAAGACCGTTCATTCTGCTACTGGCTCTCGGCGTTTTGATAGGTAAAGTGTTACTTAAATTCAGCGAGATGACTTTCTTTTACTTTACTTTACTGTAATTTCCAAATTAACTTGAAATTATACCGCACACGGTTCTACTTCTGTGTGTTTCGAGAAATTTCAACGAATCGTCAGAAACTGGTTAAAAAAAAAAAAAAAAAAATCGAAAAAAATAGATTGGTATCATAAATAAAATTATTTTTTAATTTACACATTCTGCCATTCTGTACGATTATTATTAGCAAGGAAGAGATTCGATTTTTGTCCTAGTTGTTGACTATTTTGCAGAGATAGATCAATTATTTTTTTTCTTTTTTTTTTTTTTTCCTTTCCTCGTTACTTTTCACTAGGTTTAATACTAGTCCCAAACGGAGAGGACATGGGATACGCGTTCGGGGACGTTCCATCTACGTGGAGCAACTACACGGTTCCTCTGGGACATCGAACCACGGCGAAGCATCCGAAGGAAGAGTCGGCGAAACCTCCGTCTCACTCTTGGGGGATTTTCTTCACGATTCTGGGCACGGTTCTCCTCGATTTCGACGCTGACGCTTGCCAAAGTCCGGCCAGAGCTTACTTGCTCGACGTCACTCTACCTGGCAAGTAAATGCAATCATTACGCTATCTGCATAATTACTTAATTACCTTTTTTTATCATTTAGACAACAAAGTATCTACTGCTCGATTTGTTTTCACCTAATTTAGCCTAGCCTATCCGATTCGTTTGTTATTTATTCAGAACAAAATGAAAAAAAAAAAAAAAAAAAGCGTAAAAGGCGGAGAAAAGTTTAGTTTTCGAGCCTGTTTCTTTCACTTCGAATGAAAAATCATTGCAAGTCAGTTGCATGTGTTTGGCTAGTTGAAAGAAATTATTTCCTGTATCGTCTATCAGATGTATATACTGCTGTGTCAACGTGTATCGATCGTAAATAATTTCACAGATGACCACGCCAAAGGCTTAAGTACGTTCACCATAATGGCAGGCTTGGGAGGCTTCATGGGGTACGGGTTGGGTGGGATCAATTGGGACGCCACTGCGTTGGGAATTATGCTAGGTGGACATCTTCATGCCACTTTCACTTTGATCACCATTATATTTATCATCTGTGTGTCCTGCACCATCACCAGCTTCAAGGAGATACCGTTGCAGTTGTTGGAGAGCGACGAGTATCGACAACTGCAGGAACAAAAGGTTCGTTCTTACAGTTCGTTACTAAAAATAATATCAACCTGTCTCGAACGGAATACAGAGAGAGTCGTGCCGCGTGTATCTTGTTCTTTGTCCGAAGAGTTTTCCCTTCTTCTTGAAATTGATACAGGCATCGGTCGAAGAAGAGAAGCAGGACGATCAAAAGGAACACGAGAAAATCACCACGGACGAGTGTGTTTCTTACGGCACGTTGGACAATGAGTCGGAGATTGCTACCAACAAGGACGTAAGAATATAGTTTAATCTTTAATAATTTCATCTCTCGCAACTTCTTGTCTACACACTTGATCAGTTAAAAGAGCGAATGAAATGGAAAGCATTTCGTTTTGGAAAATTTTCCTCCAATGGATGATACTCTCGTTAACGATTTTTTCTTTTCATAACTCGTTCACCTTTGTGTTTTTCTTCTTTCAAAAGTATTTTT